ACTGAGACTGAGGCAGATTCTGTTTCTTTTTGCTATTTCTGTTGTTATTCTTGGCTGGAAAGTAATTTTTTTTCTGCTGCTGTCTCTTTGTTATTCTTGTTGTTGTTGTTTGTGCTGGCGTTGCGACTCTTCACTGAAAACCCTGCCCACAGACATAGGCTGGTTGTTAATGGTCTGCACTGGCCCCCAGTTTGGTCAACTGATGGTACTTTAATAGAAAGTATTATAGAGTTGTATAGAAGCAGAAGTCTTTAAGACATGTACTTAGTCACATTATGGTATATAAAAGTCTATAAATCTCTATCTATGAGTAGCTATTAAGACTTTCAATATCGAAGACTGTTCTAATTCATCTCTCAGAGATGAACGGAGAATTTATCTCTTACGATCTGAAAAGTGTGACATATATACTTATATTTGCAGATAAGATATACTTCTATATGTATATAAATTCACATATAACACATAACTCCCATATGACAGTTAACATAAATTTTATATAGAACAATTCTTTTTAGAGGGTATTTAGTGTTCGACTTATGTCTTTACAATATTGACTGCCATTTCGTGGCGCGTTTGTTTGTCTGTAATTTACAAATCATTCACCTGCGGCAGTAGGTAGGCTAATGAAAGAATAACTTATGGTTTTCATATTGTTCCATTTCCACTGTTTCCTTTCTAGGAACGAATAACAAATGCTTTTCACATTGCTCCATTTTCATTGTTTGCTTTCTTTTATGGATATTTCCAAATTAGATATATCATTCTTCCGCAACAAACTCTCCATTTTAAGTGTCGTTATTGTTCCACTTGTTTATATTGTCTTGTTCCATATCGGAAAGCTTAGTCAATTATTTATTCAAAGCTTTTCTAGAACCTACAACATTCAAAAACTATGTTGGCTTGTATGTCAATCCCCGTTTCATTTCTATCCTTGTTTTTCTACTGTTTCCCTTCCATATGTTCCACTAGAGAGTTTCTTATATAATTCGATGTATCTATTAAAAATATTACCCTACTTTGTAACTCAATACTTCCTACTTTTAATGTTTCAAACTCCACTGTTCCATTTTTCGTTGCTCTACACTCCGTTGTTCCACATTTCTCCTTTTCTACCTGTACTGCTTCCCAGTTCAGTGTTTCAAATTCAACTCTTGTAACATTCCTCGCTCACACACTTCACTGTTCCGCATTCCATTGTTCCATTGTCGCCATTTCACCGCATGCCATTCAATTGAAAGTGTTTATGATAATTCTACCTAACTCTCGTCCAACTCCTGTGCACCTCAATCCCCAACGTGCCCGACAATATGCCAAAATATTAGATTGTCTTCCTACCGTATGGGCGCAGCGGGCAGCACTTGAAGTACCAGACGCGGCACGACTCGAGTGCTGCGAGGCCCACGCTTTTAATTCCCGCAATGTAAGTGACGTCTCGGTCGGCCAGTCGAAAAGTATCCAATCAATTTACAGCGCCAACAAAAAGGCAACAAAAACCATACAGAATACAAAAAAAAAAGCAGTTTGTTAATTAATTGCTTGGAGCGCATAGAACGCACCATCAATTTATTCAAACTATGCGTAGCTTTATCTATGCCTATGCGTATGCGTGTATGTGTGCGCATGTGTGTATGCGTGGATATCTGTATGCAGAGAGTGGAATGATCGCATCGACAACTTTTCAAGGTTAGCAATGTCTTGGGCTTTGGCATGGGCATGGGTTCGGCTTGGGCTATGTCATGCGTGCTCGCATAGGCACACATCAATTTATGCCCAGCCAGTTGGCCAACTCTCAATTTTTTGTAGCTATTCAATTATGCATAAGAAAATTATACAGATATCTTATAGAGAACATTTTGATGGTCTATCAGTTATCGAAAGCCTAATAAACAAATGACAACTAATGCAGAAATATGCTAGTCTAATACGTCAGACGTAAGATGAGGTAAGACACTCTAAAGAAGCTATTGATTAATGAATGATCTTGAAGATCTTAAAGGTCTTGGTGCTTGGTTCTTGGTTCTTATGGTTATTTTATAGATTTTCGAAGTGAATGCATATATATTACTATACAACTACTATTACTATTATATTCTACTGTGTTTATATTCTTTTACAAGTATAGTTTATGATTTTATTATCTCTGCTATAAGAATTCAGCCTCAAGCTTCTTGCGTTCTATTCGATTTGCAAATTTGATTTTAATTATATGAAGGCAACGAATAATTTAATCTATGTATATACTATACTATATTATTATAAAATTGATGTGCCAAAATTTAAGTTAATTTTTATTTTGACTATGAAGATCCAAGATCAAATATATCATTTAATTTTATCTATGTGCTGTGATTAAACTTTTGTTTTATTTAATTTATGAGCGGAAAAGCAGTCAACTGGGGGATTTTCTGATATAACATACTGTGTACAACATAAAATGAATAACAGACTGTAAATAACATATCAAGAAGCATCTAATGCATCGAAATTTGTATTCCATATATTTGTGAACAGGGTATTCGCATAGTCTATGTATAAATAGACACTCCAACTCTATGCCCGTTCTTTTGATTTCTTTCAACAATTTGGTATTCAATTTAATGCGCTGCTGATTTGCATAAAATGTGCGTGAAGCAGTAGCTAGCCTTATATATACATATATTTTTTGCAGCTACTTGTTGTTGTTGCTGCCATTTGGTATGAATGTAATTGTTGTTATTGCTTGTTAGTAGGCGGCACATAAATTGAAATTTATGTTTCTTTGCTAATAGTCGAAACGTATCCATCTGCATAATGAGCAGCGCGTATTAATTGAAATAGCACTCGAAGCTGAAGTCGATGCCTGTGCAAGAGCGGACGCCTCTGCAGATCGTGAAACAGCAAATGGGAACAGAAAATAAATAAATAAATATATATATATATATATATATATATATATATATATATATAAATAAATATATATATATATATATATATATATATATATATATATATAAACACAGAGAGAGTGAGTGAGTAGAGGGAAGAGAAAGAGAGCAGCAGTAAGCAAGTCAAGCCAGGCAGCCAGAGGAAATGCTGCTCGCATGTCAAACGCCAACGCTGATTGGTGCACGGCAGCAGAAACAGCAACAAGTTCTGCCAAAATGAATATAAAAAAAAAAATACATTTCTAATGAAGTCAATGAACTTTTTTATGCGCGCGATGCGGTAATTTTTTGTTTTTTTTTTCTGGCTTGCGAAAAAAGTTCGCTTTGACTATTATCAAAGAAAATAAATAAGTAAAAACAAAAAGTAACAACAATAGCTCAGGCTACAAATGTTGCTGGGTGCAATGACTGCTACAACAACAGCAACAACAGCTATTAATAATAATCTTTTTGACGCTGTCTCATGTGGACGCCTCACACAGTTGTCAAAGGCAAGAAAGAAATCAAAAACAACGCTGCGTATGCGCAATATTTTATTTGATAGCCTTAAAGCAATTATGAATTGAATAAATCTAAATGAAATACTAACAAAACTGTGTCAAAACGATGCCAGGTTGATAAAAGTGATAGTGTTTAGATGTTGTTATTGTTGCTATTGTTGTTGTTATGTATTTCAGCTCTTTCTTTTGCTGAGCAAACGCAACTTTCGTTACCTTTTTATGTTTGGCTTTTTTTTCCTTCTTTTTTTGTTTATAATGTCTATGCTTTTATTTTCTTCAGGAACGTGCCATAAAGCAAAAGAAAAAAAATGTATCATAGAAAAAAATTTACACACAAACAAAAAAAAAAATATAGCACAAAAATCCCAAAAACAAAAACATTTAGAAATAAACGTTCAGCACTCAACAAAATAGTTGCTAGACACAGCAAAATATATATATATATATATATATATATGTGTGTGTGTGTTGGTGTGCGTGTATATTTGTGCGTGCGAAAAGTAAAATTAGAATTTTTGTGCGTACGGCGCGAATGGCTTATCATAACAAAACGCCGCAAAAGTATAAAGCATAGAATAGAAAATAGAAAAGACAAGAAAAAGGGAAACCGAAGAAACACCTTTACTTTAGATAGATAAACATGAAAAGTCCAAAATAAAACGCCCAAAGAGCCTTCGTCAAGGTCACGGAAAACTTTTACCTAGTGAAATTCAAGGAGAACGCTCATAAATTTACATAAATGTGATTATTGGGTGTTTGGGCAATTGGGCAACCGGCTCTGCATGACAACATCAAGCAAAACAGGAAATAAATAAATCAGATCATTAATCTAGAGAGTGTTGAAAAATGTATTACTAATAAATGAAATAAACTTATTATAGTTTAGCATAGTTTTTTTTTTTTTATTGTAAACTCATCAATGATTTTATAGCATGGGAAGTATAAAAATAAACTATACTAATTATAGCAATGAAAATTGTGAGAGTTTTGATAATGGTGATTATGATCATTATCCGATTAAGCTGCTGAAAGATCTTTGATAGTGATGATATTGCTCTAGATAACGATAAAGTTAGTGATAGATAGCTAATAATAATTATGATTATTAATGTTACTAATTATATTAACAATGATAGTGAATATCTTATTGATGTTAATTATCATAATGATATCACCATATCTATCATGTGCTCTGCATGCTCTACAACATTTTCACAGCAAAAATATAACTAAATTCAACTCTGATATCTGAAATTATTACTTCGATATGTTTCCAGTGTTCTAGATCGGAAATCATTTATTTGTTGTACTACTCATAACATTACCTTTGGCTCAAATCTGCTGAAAATATTCTCCTTCAGCTCAGAACTGGACAGGTGGCCTCAATGAGGCGAATCTGATAGCTCTAAATAAAGTGATTTGAATTACCAAAGTCGAGTATTTTTCATGGATAATATAAATATATCTTTCTATATTGAAATTTAAAAACAATCCCTAGAAGTATGCAAAATGCATTCAAATTGAAAGATCGCAGAATATATTAATTTTGACATGATAATATCAGCTATATGAATAGCATTCATACATACATACATACACAAATTTCATAATATACATTCTAATTTGTGGCATTAAGCATTTGCCGGCTCTGCGCTCTATTACGTTTTCAGTCAGCCAGTCTACGGCTGGTTGGCTATTTCTTAATCTTCTTCTTACGCGTTTGGTCTAGGCCAATTTGTTGTTGTCTTTCAAATGCAAAAAACTTGTTAAGTGGACTTTGATGAATCGCCATTTTCAGTGCGTGGTTCTCGTTCTCGTTCTCAGTCTCGCTTATGATTATTGCTGTTGTTGTTGCTGTTGTTGCTGTTCTCTGATGTCTTGCCTATTATTCATGCTATGTCTGACAAACCCCTCAGTCCGCTGCTCACATGTGCTGCTGCTGCTCTTGCTGCGGCGAATTCAAATTAGAAACCAAAAGCAAAGCAAAGTGCAGAGTGCGTGTGGAGAAGCAAAAACCAAGAGCGAAAATCACATACAAACAACGCCCCATAGCCAGAAAAAAAAAGAGTTTGCTGCTGCTGCTGCGCTAGTGTTGGCGTTCCCATCCACGTCGCAGGCCAAAAATGCGTGTATTGCATCATCAAATGTAGAAAAAAAGAAAAAACAATTTTAACGCACAGACCCAAGAGCAAGAACAGCAACAACAACATCGGCGACGACAGCAATGGCCGAACAGCTTTACGAACGCCCAAAGGCTGCTTCGTGTCAACTGCTTCGTTCGTTTGGTCGCTCGTCGGCTGCGCGTTGCGACCGAAGCGCAGCGTTGCTGCTGCTGCTGACGCTGACGTAGCGGCTGCTGCTGCTACTGCTGTTTGCCCTTTGTTGTTGTTTTCGCAATGGTGTTTGCTTGCATGTGTTGGTGCGCGTGTTCGTGCATGTGTGTGTGTGTGTGTGTATGTTTCGCATTTATGCTGATCATCGAAATATACGCACACTCACACGCAACGCTGCTGCGTCGCGACTCTTACTGCCATTTTTGCTTCTATCGCTGATTGCTCAGCCATTGTTGTTGTTGTTGTTGTCGCTGGTTGAAAGTGCAATAACCTCGCAAAAAAATATAAAGCACTTTAGTTCCATAGGCAACGCCGAAAATAAAATCAGAAAATTTTTTGGTTGCGCGTGCAGCTTAATCGACATATGCGTAAAGTAAAAGTCCAAATAATCCTTTGCTGATATATATGTTATATATGTAGAATATATCTTTTCTGCGGCTGTTTATCAAAAATATTTTAGAAATATTTTTTAAAATGTTTTCAAAATGAACAATCAAATTCAATTGAGCTTTAAATTGGTTGGCTCACCTGTCGTATGCGTTCTTTCCTTTATAATTCTTACAAAGGCAGAGAGAGTAATATATGTATTGCTTGAAGATCGACTATTAAACCGTTTCTTAGACGTGTAGCTCATACGATACCAGAGTCCTAATCGAAATCTTGATAAAATTACATATGATTAAAGTCAGGTAACTCAAAAACTAATATGAAACTATATTTGTATATTGTATGTTATGGGGGATTGACGTATTTTAACAATTTGAAGCGTGCTGAAATTTATCAAAAATAAAACTAGACTTTAATGTGAACTCATAATTGACGTCAAAGAAATTTATAATGAAAAATTTGAAAACCTGTTCGTTTGATTCATTTTATGAAACCTTTATGAATTTATTCAAAATACATTTTATTTCCTAAGAACGAAATAATTAATATTATTTTGAAACTTTTTATATTTTTTTTATATGTAATCTTTTACTCTTTCCTCAAGTCTCCAAGAAAAACTCTTTTTTTTTTGTGGAAGCTGCGGTTTAGCTCATAGAGCACGCATACATCACATGATGCCAGAATTCCATCTAATGCCATGCACACACAGATATAGAGAGCGAGTGAGAGAGAAGATGTTGAATGCTGCTGCTGCGGCTGCTGCGGCCGTTGTTGCTGCTGTTGGAACTCAATACATTTACCCATTTTAGAATAGTTCTCAGCATTTGCACTGTACAAAAGAGCAACAACAATAACAACAACAACGACGACAACAATTGCCTAAGTTGTTTACGAAAGTGCGTGTAAAGCGGGCAAGAAGAATTATTCATTCGCCAATAGCAAGAACAGCAAAGTGAGCTTTGTCCATTGTTATAACTCTCTGCGTTCTACCTGCAGCAACCCACACACACACTCACACACAGAGACACAGATTCATACCTGTGTATGTATATAGATAATAGCACAGCATAGAAAACTACCTGTCATTATTATTGGTGCCTTTTTATAGTTCGCATTCGCTTTTTTTCCTCTTGCTCTTTTTCTGTTTTCTATGACATTTTTTATACGCACTGCGGGAATAAAAAATATACTGCTCAATTAATTTATTGTTGTTGTTTCTCTCAATCTCACTCTCTCTCTCTCTCTCTCTCTCTCTCGCTCCTTCTCTCTTTCTCTCTGTCTTTGCTCTCTTGAGTGGCAGCGGGGAATTGCCTCTATCGCATTTTTCAAAGTCAGTAACCCTCTAACCTTGAATGTTGGCTCCTATGCTTCTATGCCATGCCCCTAGCCCCTACCCCATACCCCCTATATATCCCGCTCTCTTTCAATGCGTGCGTTATTTTCGCTGCTGTTGGTATTTTTTTTTATTTTGTTGATGTTTATTTTATTTTCCATTATGGAACACAGCGTGTCGCCCATAGACAGACATATGTTCTATGTTAGAGCTACACACACAAACACTAAAACCAAAAACCGACTTTAAAGTTGCAAGTGCTCATAATTAATCTTGTATTATACTTTAACCTGTGCCTGATGGAGTGTATAGACTTTGAGAGCGTCTCTTCAATTTGATTGAATCTTAAATTTTCAGCTTTTACCTTTAATATTTCTAAGGACTAGGCTTTCATGCAAAAGTAAAAGGAGTTTCGGCTGAAGAAATTGCGAAACCAAAGATACCTACATTTAGTATAAAAAAGAGATTTATAAGAGATATTTGACATCGACCAACCTCACACCTCCTGATTGATGTTAGATCTCATCTGAATGGGATTGACAAAAAGAGCTACAGTCCTTGGGCCGTTAAAGTAACATATTCCATGCAACACTACTTGGAATATGTGAGATCATCATATTTTCGAAAGCAAATTGGAACTTTCAAAATTTATTTATCTGAGCTTTTCATTGAGCTTTTCATTGAGCAAAACTTTGCTTATTGCTTAAACCTTCCTTCAATCTTATTCATATCAAGTTTTCCTATACTATTTGGTCTCTACTTCATAAATTCCCATGCTTATACTCAATTTATTTATATAGATAATAAATGATGAGAACACATTTTTATTTATCTATATATTTTTCGTATTTATTTTGTATTATTCAACTAATTATAATTTGAATTTCTTCATCTATTGCATTTCATAAATTTATTTGCTATTTAAATAATATTACTTCCATCAAACTCTGCTTCTTCACACCTATTTTCTAGGGTATACACAGCGTCTTTCTATAGTCTCACTTTCAGCTCTGCTGCAAGTGCGTATGATGAATATTTATTTTTAATTTTTATGCCTATGACTCGTTAAGACTATTATATTATTTTGTTCTCTGGTGTTTAATGTATTTTTTTTAGTTATTTTGATACTATCTATAAGTATTTCCGCCTGCTAATGACAAAATACACCTTAGTGCTGCGTTTGCGATTTTTCTCAGATTTGTGTTATTTTGTGTTCTTTTTTTCTGAAATGTTTATGGTTTCTATTTTAGCGTAAAGTGCGTAAGCTGCAGGAGACACAAACAACAACAATAAGAACAGAGAGAGAGAGAGAGAGAGAAATTGTCGCTGCGTGTCTCGAATGACAGCTGTCAAAGGCTGCGGTGAGTTCCACTTTGATTAATGCCCTGCTGCTTGCTAATTTTGCATTTTAAGCACAAACACATACAGCCACACACGCACACACACATGCATGCGCTCACGCACTTTGGTGTCAGTTGGGAAAATATTGGGTGACACTTTTTCATGGGTGGTCTAGAAATCTGTCTGGCCTGCGAAGATGTTGAAATACGTGTGATTTATTTTTACATTTATTTTCTGTTCCATTTCATTATTAGCTATAGAATAGAGCTAATATCATTATGATGATTATGATTATTATTAATAAATATCATTATTATTGGAATATTTTATCATTCTTGCACTTTTGCACGATGTGTGATGGATTTTGATCTAATGTTCGTCTAGCTGGCCCTCCGTCCATTATGCTATAGATCAGTCTGTTCTTCTGTTCATATGATTGCAAGTCATGTAGGCGTTATTGAATTTAGAGCATTGATATTCAAAATATATATTTCTTAGTAGATGTAGTAAAGAATTGTGCTTGAAATTTGTATTTAGGAGTAAGAAGATATGGCTAATATATCTACCATTTGGGCGTACTAAAAAAAAACGAAAATCCTCCGGCTTTCAAACTTGAACTCCAGAATGGCCAAGTAAATTATTCCTAAGATACCCTACATATCGATCACGTTAAATTAAATGCTCACGCCCACTAGAGGCAATGCAACTCCCGAATAATAAAGTATTTTGTAAAAATTTTACTATGTCTTAAACATTTTCCTTGGAATATATTTATACTCGTGTAGACAATTTTCGTATAAAAATATAAAAGATATACGCCCATGGAATTCATAGCCACTCAGAAAACTATACATATGTATATATTTAAAATTTATATATAGTTAAAATTAACAATCCTAAAAAGATTTGATATATCTAAAGAGATTTGCATTTACAAAGCAAACATTCCTCTCAAAGGCTTCACACAATATCAAAGCCCAAGTCAAACCAGTTCAAGAGTTATCTTTAAAAAATCTAATACTTGACTACAATCTATTAAGTTGCCATGCGCTAGCGCCAGGTGGCGCTTACAAGCCACTGTTGCACACGGCATTTCGTCATAACTGTCAACTTAATATCAAAAGCGAATAACTCAACAAGACACTCGACATGGTGGTAATTAGAGAGCTGTAATTAAATTGTATAAGAAATAGAAATGAAAGCAGAGCTGAGCCGAAAGAAAGGACAGCCCACGCAAGAGCTGAACACTGAAATACTGAATGCGCACTAAGGCCAGAGAGATGAAATGAAATGAAATGAATTAGAAAATAGTCGAAAGAGTCGCGTGTGTGTCGCACCTTTGCATACGGCACAGCAAAGCCTCAAGTGTGAATATGTAATTAAATTTTATGAATTAATCTCATAAATATGTGTGTGCACACACATTAGACCAGATACTATATCACATACGCATATTTTATAGGCACACCTCTTAGCTAGCTGCCCAACTGAATTGCTGGCCACGTGGCGTATGCGCAATATTTAAGAATGCCTCAGTTTCGTGATTTATGTGTATAAGCGTGTTGCATATGTAAATATGTTCAAAAGTGTGTGTGTGTGTGTGTGTGTGTGTGTGTTAGAGAGAGTGTCTGCTTTGACTGATAAGTCGACTGTAGTCTAGCCTGTAAAATATGAACTTATATCTGGCCAATGCAGAATGCAGCCAACTGTGACCTATAAACATTTTCTTCCAAGAGTTAATGAAACATGCAAAATTGGTAGATTATGTATTTTAGTTTGTTAGAGTTTTTATTAAGTTTTATTTATTTGCAATGAATTATGTTATATCCTTCGAAGGTTAATATTGTTAATTAAGATTGGTGTATTTGTCTATACGATCTATATGGGTACTTGTCTCTATATGTTAACAATAAATTAAAAGTTTTGTAATATGATCATGAGCTTCATTATAGTATATAAGGGCATCTTTTTCAACTTATGAATCAAGTAAATTCCCTGAGGATTAATGTAGAAGTTGAATGTTTGCATTCGTTCTACATCTATAAAAATGACCAAATTTTTCCTCAAAATTTCGGTAGTTTACGTCCAAATATTTACCAAGAAATATTTAAAACATGATTAGCTTATTTGGCTATCGATTCGAATCCTTTGATAAATTACTGTTAAGCTAAAATAATAAATAGTGTATATTGTAAGATATTTAGGAAAAACTAATTATATTTAAAATATGAGATTTTGGTGTACATAGATATAATAACTAGCCAATCGCTTTAATGAATAACTAATATAATTTTGTTTTTAATTTTTTATTTTTATTAAATATATATTATATTTAAATAACATTTTTATGAATTTTTAAAAATATTAATATTATACAATTTATATATTAAATAAATCACAGAAAAAAAAAAATATATATATATATATATAAATATATATATATGTTTTTTATTATTCCAACAAGCATAACATTGTAATTAAGCCTACATTTATTCACATTAGCTAATTTACCATTAAAAATAACTTTTTTTTATGGTCAATTTAGAGTTTTGATATAAAACCCGAATCAAATCAATGCAGATTAGATATAAGGCTGCATCAACTTAGTATAATACCTCCTCTTGTCAATGCTAACTAGAAGCGAAGAAACGTGCTGGTGAACATGTAGCCAAATGTAAAATATAATGCCAATTTGAAGATCGATTCAGAAGCTCTGAGAAACAA